AAGAAGCTTCGTCAGTTCAGGAACAGAAGAGGCTTTTTGGATGAGAAATGAAACATTTTCAAAGAAAAAACCCCAAGAAAGTCTAGTTGCCTTTTGAGGACTACTTGCATTCCTGCAGCCTCTGATAAAGATGAGAAAAGTAAACTTTTTCTGTTGTCTGCCTATATTAAGACTTAATATACTTCTTTTGAATTTTATTTTGAAAAAGAAAAAAATTAATTTAACTATGAAAACTATTTTTGCCTTAGAATATGCTTTAATAAATTATATAATTGCTAGATGTGTGAAAGACAGAAAGAATAAGAACAAGTCAATAATAGGTTTATCGAGTAAACGTACAGTAGACCTAAGTGTCATCCAGCTCTGTTTATTGCAAGAATAATGAGCTGTACACTTTGATACTTATAGCCCAAGCTAGATATTGCTGAATTTTCTACGCTCATTATAAAAAAGAAGCTGGACTTTACACTTTTATTACAAATAATGAAGTTTTAAAACCAGCAAGACTTTTTTTTTGGGGGGGGGGGAAATGTTTTTTTACTTCCAAGGGACCATTTTATAGGTATGTAGTTACCAGTAGAACCGTTTGCACATTTTTATTTTGCTATCCTGAAATACTATTTTTTATATCCATTTTAACAGTTATTTAAGGGTCCCTGTGTACTTAAAACAGCATCTGAATATAGATACTTCTCTCTCTCGCTCTTAAATAAAGCTACATCATCACTTGAGTTTTCCATCAATGCAGAAGAATGAGAGGGGAGTTATAGCTGGAACAATATGTAAAAATACTGCTCGTAAAAAAAAATGCCTTTATTAACTGTCATCATCCCCAGAATATATGTTCAAATAAATGTTGTGTAATAACTAAATTTGAGATTAATAGGTCCCTTAAGAAATGGTGAAGTCATTCAGGATAGTCAGTGAAAAATAGGCTGCAAGAATGTAAAATGCACATATTGTCCTGCTTCCATGCTCTCTCTGGTGTCCTTCCCATTTGTCAATGTCGGCAAGCTCTGTTCTCATTAAAACATTCGTGAACAAAAGCAACTTAATTTTCTTAAGAGGAAAGGACACCTGATTCAATTTAGCATCTGTAGCCAATAACTTGAATATATATTCTTTTTCAGCCTGGAGTCAAACAAATAGTGATGAGTGGCAACTGAAATAAAATATACTACTTTTTAACCAATCACCATTATTTTTGAAGCCTCTAAGGTATGCGCATTGCAGACTGAAGGAAACACCCGCTTCTTAAAAACTGAAGTTAACATTTAATTGGGATAATAATCCATTTTATTCCGAAAAAAGATTTTTCACACAATATAGGCAAAGCCAAATAAGGGAACCATAGTTTTTACACCACTTCACATTATAATATATAGTAGATTTTACCTGTGGCTGACATTAAAAGTGTCTTGTATTTATCTGCTTCCAAGGTAGTGGCCGTCCAATATGGTCTCAAGCTGTAAATTGTAAATATATGTGTACTTTTTTGTTAACTTAATGCATACAATTCACTTAAAGGTAAAGATTCCCCTCACACATATGTGCTAGTCATTTCCAACTCTAGGGGGCGGTATTCATCTCTGTTTCAAAGCCAAAGAGCCAGTGCTGTCCGAAGATGTCTCCGTGGTCATGTGGCCGGCATGACTAAATGCTAAAGGCTCCCGGAACACTGTTACCTTCCCACCAAAGATGGTTCCTATTTTTCTACTTGCATTTTTACATGCTTTCAAACTGCTAGGTTGGCAGACGTTGGGACAAGTAACAGGAGCTCACTCCATTATGTGGTGGTAGGGATTCGAACTGCCAAACTGCTGATCTTTCTGATCAACAAGCTCAGGGTCTTAGCCATTGAGCCACTGTGTCCCTTATGTACTTATTCCATGCTTAAACCAGAGAAATAGCAATAAATAGCAGTAACTGCAATTTTATGATAGTCAGAATATTCAAATATAGTCAAAAGCTAGTCCATGATGACTCAAATAGGCATATTATAGGATTGTAGTCTGTATTATAGTCATTTCTTTTTGGTCAGTATACATTTCTTTGAGTTTTGTGCTGCTAATTATCTGCCCTTTTATGCCTGCTGTTAAATTTTATATCTAAAATTAATTTTTATGTGTGGCATTTTTATCTTATTGCTAGAATTAGTATGTATATAGTGCATGTGCTTAACCTAAGAGAGGATTAAGTTCAGGAACATTGTTAAGCATGTACTATGGAAAAAGGTAAAGGTTATCCTATATAATACATTCAGTCAAATGAAAACATTAATTCGTGGCTTGTATTGACCGCTGAAAAATTAATGGTGTTGGTTTCTAAATATTCCAGAGAAGAATTGATATAATACTTTTCTTCCCAAAGTGATGAGTAAATAGTATGCCAATTTGCATTATTAAGTGATTTGCTACAGGTCTGTTAGTTCTAATCTTAGGACTTGGTTTTGTTTTTGTGCAGTCAAAAGCAGAGAAGTGGGATGAGGCTCAAATTTCTTCTGCCTGTTCTAATTGCTGAAGTACACAGTGTGAGGATTCGAAATGGATTTTATTTAGTTATTTTAACTGCTCCCAATTTCCTCTTTTTCATTGTCACTTGTTAAAGGTATTGCAGACTTTATTCTGTGAATTTCAGTTGACCATGTTTCCCAGGGAAAATGATCTGGTATAAAACCAAAATTCTTCTAAGGATAAAGAAAAGGACACCCAAGAAATATCAGAGTTTTTCTAATCCATCTTATTTGAAGTCTTAAATGTTTTAAAGTTTGAGCCTCATAAGGCTTAAGAGCTGGCCAAAAGAGGTTGACACTCCTGTTACAAGCCTACTTTGTAACTTACACAAGTTTAACTTGTGTAGTTAACTTGTGTAGTTTAAGAGGAGAGGTTCTCTTTAAGATTCTCCAGATGTGACTGATGCTGCTGATCTATCTGCTATGCAGGATAAATTCTCCTTATTGTAGCTCCCAAGCTATGGAATGCTATCCCTAAGGAGTCGTATATGGCTACTGTGTTTTTGTAAAACATTAGAGCCAGAAATAGCTGTTGTTCAGTGGCTAACTGTTGAATTTCTTTCTATCTTTAAGCTGCCTAAACAAAAAATAAATAAAACTCCCCTTCATAAAAATGTCATTACATAAAATATGTAACTATGAAAACATAATCCACTAAATGTTCATGAGTAGAAAACTTTGAGTGCCTAAAATATAACATGGTATCAAATGCCTCTAGGTCTGTAACTCACCCAAGAACTTTTGTTCTCAAGGGCTTCCTCATTTGATCCATAATTTAAGAAATTCATTTAACATTCAATCATCAATTTATATTTAACCCATATCCTTCCCATTATAATATCAGGTAGGACCATCTGAGCAGAGATAGAACTGATAAATCCACTCTACAAGTAGGGTGCTAAGGCAGTAAGATCCTAGTTGCTATTTGTCACTCTTCAAGGCAGGAGGATACCGGAAGAGATCTTGTGAGATGATTAGAAGGACTGTAAGATCAGGTGATTCTTTAGATACCTGAACTCAACTTAAACCACATTGCTTCATATGTCATAGATTATTTCTTCAAGGTTTATCAAGGTGTGGAATTGCAAGTTGAAATCCTAATGTTACATTCTGACTTGTTAAACCATATTATGTTTATTAATTGTTGCAAAGATAATTATTTGGACTGGTTCCTCCTCCTCGTGTTCAAAGGCAGATGCTGAGAAAGTAGAGGTGTAAAAATATTTTGCTGTAGTTTTATAACTGTCAACCGTGATGTTTTATTTAGCTGTTTCTATTCAGAAGCTCTCCCCACAACATGGAATGCCATATGCCATTGTCCTTTTTAGCAAGCAAGCAAGCAAACAAGGCAGCAAAGCAAAACAAAATATTACAAGACTCTGCTTGCTTGTGTGTGGGCCACTGAGAAGCTGTGGTCCAGGGCTATCTTTTATTGATAAGGCCAGCCAAGGATGACTCTAATGAAATTATCAAAGCTTTGAATAAATTATGAACTTGAATAAGAAAGCTAAGCTCTCTGGAGCCAAGCATCTCATTAGCCATTCATTTTCATTGCACTCTCATAATAGAGCAGTAGGTTCTACTCAGTTTAGCCTCTGTTTTGGACTGGGTTCAAACTTTCAAGCTCTTTCAAAAACCTTTCGTCTATGGCTGGAAGATGTCCTTGGTGATTACTTTGATTCTGCTTCTGTTTCCCATGTAAATGGCACGTTTTCTTTTCTCTGCCCCTACCCCCCTCCCTTTTTTGGGGGGGGGCTGTACGTGTTTCTACATAATCGGACTGGATGCCATGGAAAAATTCCTTCTGTTAAGGTAAAATAGGAAGCTTTACAAGATTTAAGCATTTTCTGTTTCTCAGAATTTAGTAGTTTGTCAGAATGCTTTTCCCCAACATTATTTCTTGGATATTTAGGTAAGCTAAACATTTCTTCAAACTCAGTTGGGTCATTTATTTTTCTTTTCTTTTCTTTTTTCTTTTGCTGCATTCGTTGTATTCTTTCTGGCCTTTGGAATTAAAGCACTTAGATAAGTTGTAATTTTAGTGCAGTATATATTCAGCTAAATGCTTGTAGCAAAAGATGTAAATTCAGTATTCTACTTGAAATACACTAGAAATATACAAATATATATTCTGTTCAGATAAGCATCATACTATTAATTACTTGTTACGTTATTTTTCTATTGACTTCCTTTAAAAAAAACCTCTTACCTGTGTTTTTCCTATAAGGAATTTTATCTAGCATAAACATGGTAATAGGTTTTTTAAAAAATAACTTCCTTTATTTTTAAGTTGCCCAATGAGTATAAAAGTGAAATGTTAATTATAAACATAAATAACAAAATAAGTAACTATTATCTGAAATGTGACTTTTCATAGGCTATTTTGCAATGATTTTAAATGGCAGTAGTTTACTAGAAAATATGAATTAAGCTCAATATTATATATGAAATAGCAAGACTATTATTGATGTTTCTTTCATTCTTTTAGGCAGCTGCTATATTTAACTCTGCCTTTGGAAGTTTCTTGGTAAGTAATATCACCTTCCAATATTGTTTCAAAGCCTTACAATACATTTTTAACCATTACTGAATATTGAGTTAAGTTTCATTTATCATATATCATACTTCTCTTTTAAATACACATGCTTACATTTCTTTCCAGTATCTACTGCTTTCCAGAAAATTAGTGTGTGAATAATATTTGATCAATATAATTTAATGATGCTTAAGTACACATTAATACTTCTTAATGAGGAGACAATCCATTACTATTCAGACATTTGGGAGACTAGTGTCAATATATTGATTTTCTAATGAGGTTTATCACACAGTCATTATTTTCTATTAAGATGCCATGGTTTTTAAGGGAACATGCTCAGATGATGAGAGAAGCAATACTAATTCACTGGGTGATAAGTCACATGATTAGCATATTTTGCTGCCAGAGAACAAGCTTATTCTATGTCCCAAGGGAAACTGATGGAAGGAGTAAAAATAACTGGGCCATTCTAAATATAATTCCTGGGCATACATTTTAGCATCCCCAAGCACAATATACTGTAAAATATACAGAAAAGACATTTCAGTAATAATTTCCCTTATTTTGTGCATTATACAAATCAAATATCTGGACATATTTTTGCATGAAGTTACAATATATTTTTATAACGTAAATTGTTTATCTCCGCTATAGTCCAAATCATTTTTATTAAGGGTATTAGTAAATACATAATATAAAGATGCATGAAAATACTCTTTATAGATCATGAATGCTTACCAATAGATTAAAAGGAATGTTATACAAGAGAAATAATTAGATATGCACGTGCATTAAGATGTGTTCCTGATGTTAAAATTTTAACTCAAAATATCTGGCATTTTAAAAATTGTTCTTATTTTCTTTAGGATATAAATTAACCCGCATACACAAAATTGCTAGTTTTCCAGGGCGCTGCTCAGGAGAGTCCAAGCAAGGGTTAAATACAGCCAAACTGCCCAGAACTGAATTGAAACTTTAAGCCACACCTCTGGTGCTGTTTATCTTCAGATTTTTTCAATTCAGCTAGCCCAGTAGGACGCGCTTAGAGTTTCTCTTCATTCTATTGCTTTGCTTGGACTCTCTTGAGCCTTTTATTGTAGGTAAGGTTTAGTTTAGGGTGTGAGCAGGCTGAGTGAGCGTGTTTGAGGTTTATTTACTTCATTTACAATCTGAGCTCACTCCTCGTTTCCCCAGCATCCTGCTTATCTCCCAGGCGCCGCTTGGAACGCAGGCAGCTGCTGGGGGAAGCGCGTGGGTTGGAGTGCCGACGCCAGCACTGCTACGACCCCCGCTGAGGGGGAAAAGTCCCCGCTGAGGCTCTTGTGGTTGGCGTGCGTGCCTTTGGTGGCCAGCGTGCAGGTGCGGTGCCTCAGAGCTCCGGTTTGCTTGGCGCCAGCTTTTAAATTGGTTAGTTTATTCCGGTCGCCATTTTGGAGCTATTTGCGGTTTCGGTTTCCTATTCAACCGCGTGCTGCAGCTGTCTGCAGCCTGACTCACGGCAGGAGCTGCGTGGAGCCATTCCTTGTCCGGCCTGGCTGGCAAATTTGGCTTGTGTCTTTACCACCTGAGCAGCTAGGATTGGGGCCGCTGGTCACAAGCCTTGTTCCTGCAAGCGCTGGGAGCTATTAACGCTCGTGTTTTATTCCATCCGGCTGCATATTGGTGCTGCGATCCCTCCACATCTCTTCAGAGTGTCTGTTTGGTCTGCAGGGCCTTTGCAAGGTGGTGAGTGGAGGTAGCCCCTGGTTATCAATTGCGACTTAGTTTCTCTTATGGCTGAGCAGGTTCCCGAGGATTCCACCCAGGCAGGGGGTTCTTCCAGGGCTTTCTCCAGGCAGGCCGGCATGGCTGCCAGGGGCCATGGCATGGCTGCCAGGGGCTCCAAGCCATACTCCAGGCCCGGGCCTAAGCAGGGGTCTGGGCCAGACAAGGACGCATTGTGTCGCCAAAAGGCCCTTGAGAAACAGTTCTCCAAGGCCCAGCACCAAGCACAATCCTCTAATTTGGTGTCTCCTGAGGAGCCTGCCATGGAGGTTCCTCCAGCCCAGCCTAGGCCTGTTTCAGACAGTGAGGATGAGGGCTGGGAGTTTTCACTCAAGGGCTCCATGCCTAGGGCAGTATCTCCAGGCCCTTCTATGGTAGATCAGGCTGATCTGTTCGCTTGCCCTTCGGATCTAGAGGAAGGCCCTGCTCCGGGTCCCTTGGCTCCTCAACACCCACCTCCCGGGACCAAGCCCAGGGCTCACTCCAGGGAGGATCTTGGGCCTGACCTTTCAGTTGAGATGCAGGAGGTTATTAACAGGGCCATTTCCCAGAGCATAGAGATGGGCATGCTGCATAAAGGCAAACACACCCGCAAGACTAAGCATCTGGAGCCTCAGCCAGTTACCAGGGTCGCATCTCCCCCACGTATCTTGAATTCCCCCCATTCCTCTTCGGGTTCCGAGGCTTCGGACTGGGAGGAGGGAGAAGATATTCTTCCTGTTCAGGAGGCTGAATTCTCGGGGGAGGAAAGTGCGGCGGCTCAAAAGGCCACTGCTTTGGGGCTATTTAACATTGCCAATTTCAAAACCATTTTGGACAAGGCCAAGCTGGCTACTCACATGGGGTCCACTCCACCTGTTCAGGCTCCTGCTGGATGACTTGTCTGGGGATTTGTTTGAGGAACCTGTCTCGGTCCAGGAAATTATTCCTATTCCCAAAATGTTTCTTAATTTGGTTCAGAAACAGTGGGCCCAGCCAGCTACCATGGCTACTCCCTCTAGCAAAGATAAGAAGCTGTACACTGTAGATGCCACTCTGGAGGATTTGCTTAAGCTGCCACCTATCGATCCTCTGGTTGCGGTCCTCACCTCAACGTCAGTGCTTCCACCTGATCTATTAGAGGGTCTTAAAGCTTAGGATAAGAAGTCTGAC